TGGACGTGGTAGCTGCATTCCTGAACGCGTACACCGACAGAGACGTCTACGTCAGGCCGGCGCCAGGCGACGAGGAGAGGGACCCTACGACAGGTGAAATGATAATGTACAAACTGGAGAAAAGTCTGTACGGCCTGTCACAGTCCCCGTCACTGTGGAACGACGCCATCAATGACAGACTCATCATCTTCGGCTGGCAGCGCACTCACTCTGACCCCTGTGTCTACATCTTCGTAAGCGGGGACGAACTCAGAATCCTCGCGATCTACGTCGACGACATCCTCCTCACGGGCGGAAACAAGTAGATCGTAAGCAGGAAAAAGAAGGGACTCATGGACAGCTTCGAAATGACAGACATGGGAGAGGTCAAGCGCGTAATCGGCATCGAAGTGCAGCGGGACTACGAACATGGCACACTAGCCATATCGCAAGGACCCTACGCGAGAGATATCCTACAGCGATACGGAATGGAACAGGCAAACCCGGTCAGCACCCCCGGGTATGGAGCAGAACTATCAACCGAGCAGCCACAAGACCAACTACTCGGACCCGAGGAAAAGCAGAGATTTCAGACCATCACTGGGAGTCTCCTGTACCTTGCCCAATGCACCCGCTACGATCTGTCATACGCAGTGCACCAACTGACACGGGCATGCGCAAACCCAGCACAGGTCCACATGGCTGCGGCCAAGCACCTACTACGGTACCTACGCGGAACGCCGGACCTGCCGATCGTGTACAAGAAGGGGCAGTTCAGACTCTCGTGCTTCACTGACTCGTCATTTGGAGCCAACCCAGACAACGGCAGGTCTACCACCGGATACCTGTTCTTCCTAGGAGGGGGACTGATCAGCTACGGAGCCAAGGCACAGACTCTCGCAGCACAGAACACCGTGGAGGCCGAACTTCAAGCGCTGAGCTTCAGTGCTCGCGAGGCAGTCTACATCTCCAACTTCATGACGGAAATCGGATTCAAGACCTTTCGATCGGTACCCATCAACAGCGACAGCACCGGAGCATTGACTGTGGCCAGCAACGCGATGTTCAGCTCTAGAACCAAGCACATCGCGCTCCGGTTCTTCTTCCTCAGGGAACTCACGAAGGGGCACCGGATCACTCTTCACCACCAACCTAGTGCCACGATGTTGGCGGACATCGCGACGAAACATCTCCCGAAGCAGCGATTCGCCACCATCATGCAACTCATCAAGGACTACAAGTGCTAGAAGATATTGAGCACAAGATCGCATAGTATGGTTGAATGTGTTGAATGAACGCGTTTATTGCTCACAGGATGGATTAACTTATGTGGAGGTCGATATTCTTTGATGTGGATTGGGAATCGAGGGGTCACAAAAATGGCAGCGAAGTGAAGTTTTGGAACATCGGCTACTTGCCTCATCGAGGGGTCGTGTCGAGGAAAACTGTTACAACGTAGTCAGGCACAGTTTACCATAGGTGCGACTGCGGCAACTAGCCTTCCGTAGACATAATACAGAAAGAAGAGATGGTACTCAGCAGAGAACATGAGCACAGAGTTGTAGCGGAGATAATTTGGCAGGCGAGACTGTAGTTGTTTATTGTTCTGAACCCCGAAATTCCGGTACTGGGGCCATTACCCCGGAGACCCTCGGAACCTGCTGTGTTTTTGCTGCTTGTTTTTTTTATTTTTATTGAGATGAGACACAAGCGCGCCTTCGCCCCTTTGTGCTCACTCTCATTTAGCACCCATCAAAGCCTGACCAGGGAGTCAGTTGATAAGAACATCTATCTACATTCCTCTTTCCAAAGCTCGCTCGGGCCTACCGATCTCACAGCAGTGTAGACCAACCTCTGTGATATAGCGGTGACGGCAGTGTAACCTCTGTGTGTGGTAGACTACAATGTCTACGAGCTACAGCAGCGCCGCCACCTCCGCTGCTGCAGGACGTCACATATTGTGATAGGGCATGTTAACCTGTGGTCACGGGAATCGACCGCGTCGAGTGTTGGATCAGTACGGTCATACCAAGGTACCAGGTAGATAGAGAGAGATCGAAACGGTTTCTAATGTGAAGACAACAACAACAACAACAACAATAACAACTACTAACTAAGGATAATATATAGTAGGGGCTATTCGCGAATAGGCTGCTTGTTTCCGTGTGTTCGTCTAGATAGAGTAGGAATATGGGTCGGCATCGATGACGAGGAAGTAGATGCAGAACGCGGGCAACGAGCGTGAAGCACGTTTGTTTGTTTGTCATCCATCTACTACTACTAAAATACTGCTGCTAGTATATTTCGACGATCCATCCTAACTTTTCGAATTTCTTCCCCGTTCGGGAGGGGGGGGTGGCCTAGGTGTCCGGATTTTTTTTCACGTGTGTACCTTACTCCATGGGGAAAGGCATGGACACCCTCTGGGGCCTTTTTCTTGCAAGACCTCCAGAGGGCAGGTTGACAAGAAGACCCTACGCGAAGGTATTTAAGACTGTACAAGTACAAGGAATATTTATTTTTATCATTTAAAATTCTGTTCGATGTGGAAAAGAGGGTTTCGTCCTCGACAGACGTTGGGGAGTTTTCAACCTTTATGAAGGTGGTCTCCACATCGACATACATTACTAAAAAATCTCTGTCGAGGGTTTGAAACGGCCACGTGTAATGAGGAGTTTTCCCCCCGGGGAGGAGATCGTTTTATTTGAAACCAACCCCCCCGGAGGGAAATTGACGCACGGCGGGGGGGTGTTTTTTTTTTTTAAGGAGTAACCAGAAACGGGTATACCCGGATACTTCGTCACCACTTTCGGGTACACTTAGAAATCAACGCGCCTGCACCCCCAGGTACCCCCAAGTAGCCGGTGACATCTCCAGATTGTCTGGTGTTACCGATGCTGGTTACTGGTGTACCCGTAAAGGGTTGATTTTCAGAAATGGTCATATAATCCCGGCGCCGACGACTCTAAACCCGCAGGAAAAAACGTATTCCGCACATACCCGCACGACACACCATATACCGCACATACCCCACTGTAGCTACACAAACCACCAACAACGCTTGTTGTTGACGGGCACATTGCCTCCAAGGATGCCAATCTCCGACAGCCTCCTCCTCCGTAGATCGCGGCGAACAACCAACCGCCGTGCACGGCCCCCGGAGGCATGTATGTCCTAATCACACACAACACACCTCACCCACGCACCACACGGTGGTCATCATGCTGGGGAGTGGCAACCATTACAAAGGTGTCTGCTCTGGGTAGACGGCACCCCTGATGTTACCTTCCTCTGCACCACCATCCAGCGAGAGGTTTTTTGGAAGAGGTTTGAAACTTGTTTAATTTGCAATCGAACTTGTGCCATCCTCCTACCCCCCTTCGATGTGTTTCGTCCTCCCCTGCGCTCCTGTGCACTGCTGTGTCAGAGGGAGACTACCGGCCGGTTCCGCAGTGTTTTCGTCATGCTCGGGCATGCTGCTCGCGCTGCGGTGCGAAACCCGATGAAGGTGTGTGTCACGCAGAGTTGGGATTGGCCCTTTCCATTTTTAATCGGAACACACGTGTGCACATTTGCGCCCTCCTTGTTGCACGGTGCATGTTGTAACCCATTGTAGTATTAATTTGAGGATATTCCTATTCTAACACCACATAGACTAGACTGTGTTGAATGCAGTCAAACCCTTGTGTCGAGTGTCGTTGTCATTTGCGCGCCCGGCGGAGATGTGTTCACGAGGATGTGGTCAACCGTCTGGGCTATAGGCGGACGAACGCACTGACTGGCCCCCCATTACCCCCTTGTACCTCGTCTAGGGGGGGGGGTTGTACTCATGCCGTAGTCGTTGGATCATTGACCTCGAATCCCTACACAGCGGGACGGAGCACGCCGGGTTCTCACCGGACCAGGCTCTTACATCACCAAGCTCAAAGCGCCGTATTCGGCGAGTTGCATGAAGGGTGCGGTGCATCCTGCTAAGGGTGTTCGGCATCGCGCGCTTGTTTCCTTGCATATGGATGACAGCTGCAAATGACTTGATCATTTATTTTCTGGTTTTCACTTGCTCTTTACACGTCCAGAGACAGTTATGAGCACTTTGGAACTGCCTCGAAGGTTCTCGCCCTTCTGGCCCTGGGCCATTCGCCCTCCCTGTGACCTGCGGACCCCGATGCGGCGGGTCTATTCAAAACATGAAGGAGGCGCACAGCGAAAAAGTACGCAAAACGTGCGCATGTACTTCTGGTTGCAGTTGTCGTTTTGGGCACACAGGGAGGGTGGCGCCGTCCCGCGACTGGCTCAACTTATTGTTTAGGGTACAAGAAAGGTTGCCTGGCCTCCATCCCCAGATGTCTCTGGTGTTTTTTCCCCTCTGATGTGTCTTCCCTGCGTGGTGGTTCGGGGATTTTTCTTAACTGTCCCCGTATCGAGTAGACCGGATTACTGGCTGGACTACTGGGCCTCGGTGATCACTTTTTTGATCAAAAAAAAGTGGGCGAAGCCTCAGTTAACACAACGTGGTGCGATCATCCCCTTTGCGCGGAGTGAGGGTTCTATCACGGATACAGCAATAAAAAAATGGCAAAAAAAAAATGCGGTAACCTGGTTGTCGAGCTCACGAAGCGATCGGCTTGTTTACAACGTCGTTGCCAGGCTCAGCGACCATGGGTAGGGCAACCCGGGAATGAGTTATATATATTTCGCGCGAAGCGCGCAAAAAAAATACGAAGAGGCGTATTCGAATGACGCNACCTTTGTTTGCACCTTCCTATTTTTCCCGATTTTTCTTCACGATGGGAGGGCCATTACCACCTATTGGCGGTAAATTAGCGAGTAAACCACCGTTTACGCGAAGGAAACTGTAGTTTGTTTCTGTACACGCCTGCGAAATTGCAGTCTGCGCGAAACATGGCAGCTTTTCTCTGTCTCGCGTGTGCAGCTTCAGAACAACAACATCTATTATTTTCTACAGGAAAAGAGTGTTCTTCTTGCTCGCCATCAGAACGTGACGTCTTCTTTAAACTATTAGTCATAAACTCAGCAAAAAGNCGGGACAGGCGCGCGCAGCGCTGCACGCGGCAGGACTCTGCGCTTTGTCTGCGCAAAGAGAAAGGACACAGCTCTCTCACCGCAGCACACACACATACAACCCACAGCACACGCACAGCACCACAGAGGATGTACCATGGGTCGCAGGAAAGGATGAACGCCTGCGGCTGGAGCAAAAAAGTCCGGGACGAAATCAAACGCAGAGAAAAAGAGCGACGAGGAGAAGTGATCACGGCAGGCAGCAGCTTTCCGTACGGTCATGGGGTGGGCAGACACAACAACACGGAAGCGTCAGCGAGTCAGTTGCGAAGGTGCTGCGAACGAAGACAACATGGGGAACGACGAGGAAAGTGCGGGGAACGACGAGGAAAGTGCGGGGAACGACGAGGAAAGTGCGGCCTCGTCGTTCCCCATGTTGTCTTCGTTCGCAGCACCTTCGCAACTGACTCGCTGACGCTTCCGTGTTGTTGTGTCTGCCCACCCCATGACCGTACGGAAAGCTGCTGCCTGCCGTGATCACTTCTCCTCGTCGCTCTTTTTCTCTGCGTTTGATTTCGTCCCGGACTTTTTTGCTCCAGCCGCAGGCGTTCATCCTTTCCTGCGACCCATGGTACATCCTCTGTGGTGCTGTGCGTGTGCTGTGGGTTGTATGTGTGTGTGCTGCGGTGAGAGAGCTGTGTCCTTTCTCTTTGCGCAGACAAAGCGCAGAGTCCTGCCGCGTGCAGCGCTGCGCGCGCCTGTCCCGCCGGCGCTCCCGCGTCACTACAACTCCTCCTGCACTAATCCCAAGTGCCGTCTTTAAAACCCACTTTCATACGCCCAATCAGCTTCGTTCAAATGCGGTGGGTTGGGCTAATCAGAGGCGCCGCTTTCAAAAAAATCATCCCTACCCATGGTTCCTGTTCCCGTTGCCAAGCGACGAAAACCTCCGGGGGTACCGGGGGAGGGTATAGTAAACGATACAGGGATCGACACTCACCATCTTTGTTGCCTTGCTATTTGCGTGGTCCCCGCTTTCCCTTCCAACAACCTGCGAAACATTGCCGGCATCGATGGAGATCGGCGTCTTGTTGGTGGTATGTCTCGAAGACCTAAGTTGTTTCCTTTGAGACCGGGTGAGACCGGTCTATGCCCCCACGCCACCGCTCAAAATTTTTGTATCTCCCTTTTCCCCTGCGCAAACACGTTCCCATTCCTTCGAAAGAGATCGACGCGAAGATCTGCGAAGGTCGTCCGTCGTGTTGAAACCTATATGTTGCCCCTGCCTTTCTTGCAGAGCGACGTTATGTATGCATGTCGCCCTTAGCACTGATTTTGCGTTTTGACGAATTGCCCTCACCCTTTCCCTCCTGCTTTGCTCTATAAAAAACGTCGTCAGGTCGTGGGGATGGATGGGGGACACCTCAAGGGAGAGTGGAACGGGATGATGCTGACCCTGANGTCCGTCGTGTTGAAACCTATATGTTGCCCCTGCCTTTCTTGCAGAGCGACGTTATGTATGCATGTCGCCCTTAGCACTGATTTTGCGTTTTGACGAATTGCCCTCACCCTTTCCCTCCTGCTTTGCTCTATAAAAAACGTCGTCAGGTCGTGGGGATGGATGGGGGACACCTCAAGGGAGAGTGGAACGGGATGATGCTGACCCTGACGTGCAAGGACGCCAACAACGAGATGATCCACGTGGCGACGGTGATCGGACCCAAGGAGGACACCTCCCTCTACAAGACATTGCTGCGCAACTGCAAGAAGAACCCGAAGATGAGGGACCTGCTGGAAGACTCGAAGACAACCTTCTTCACGGACCAGCACAAGGGGGCGACCTGTGCGCTGCGGGGAGAGGCCCCGCTGGCGCAGCACCGGTACTGCTTGAGGCACCTCATCCTGAACTCAGAGGAGAAGATTGGCAGCGTGAGTAAAAGTATGATGTTATGTGTTGGAGACGTTGTTGACGAGTGGGGAATGGCTGGCATGTGTGTTAAGAAGCAGGGGGTGGGTGTCTGTGATGTACATTATCAAGCAGTTCGTAGGTGTCGTCAGATGTGAGATTTGGTGTTGTCTTGGTTAATCCCTTGCCTTCTCAAAAACCCGGTACGAGTGGTTGGGGTTCGGGGCGGTGTTCTTGAAGCGCTCGCTGAGCTGTTTTCCTCCCCTTTCTTTCTCCCCCCCCAAAAAAAAATATATAGCCGGACAGAGTGTAGCATGTGCGTGCTGCTGGGATATCTGAACCCTACGGATCGACAGCAGTCACTGTGAGAACGAGGCGGTTGGGAAAAAAAGATACTCAGGCGCCCCCCCCCCATTTTTACGCCATGTCGTACACACCCGCGCTTGTTCAGCTCACCACGACATCGTCATCTGTATTGCCGCCAGGAGCGTACCACGAGATGCGCCAACCGAATCTATGTAGCGTTTGTATCATGTGCCAGGCACGATTGTCCCAGCTGTGCAGCCTTCGATATGTGTAGGGTGAGCAAGTCCATGGCAAGTCCATGGTAATCATTCAAATTCTCAGGCACGCTTACACTCCAAATTCTCCTCGACTAGCTGCACCCAAGTAGCAAGTTGTTCACTCGGCAAGAAACCCCGCGAGATGCGGCGCGACGCGTGTGGTGGTGTGTGAGTACCGCCTCTAGACGTCCATGGCAGAGGCCTCCAGCTTCGACAAGTGCACGTCACGGTATCTTTATTTTGGAGAAGTAACCCAGAGGAAATGTCAACAAAGCCGAAGAAACAGATCGAGCCCCATCTACCTGTTTTTAGGTACTGCTTGTTGGTATGTCCGTACTTGGGAGGAGAAGACACGCTTTAACTCTCTCTGATTAGGCACCCGCGGGAGCGAGGAAAGAAAGGGAAGAAGTGGCCCTCCCGAATTCGGGGAAGGGGGCCCACACATAGTAGCCTTTTTCAGGCATACGCATGCTCATGTCTACGTACCCCCCCCGTGCTGCTAGCAGATCTACCATACTCGTATCCAGACACACGAACACCCTCCCCGGTTCGTCAAGCTATTGACAAACCATCAGTGGGGCATGGATACTCCAGATCTACTTAAGTTACTCATACAACAACGGGTGCAAGGGAAAAACTCGGCCATCCGGATCAAAAACCCTCGCCTACAAACTCAAAACATAAAAGAAACCGTCGCTATCACGAAGGATTCCAACGGCCGCACTATCAGGGCAGGACCAAGGCAGGACAGATTGGACAGGCCACGCTGATTACACACCCGAAGCAATTGGTCAAAAACCCTAAGCTCCCGCCGCGGGTGACGCCCCTGCCCAACGCTTCCTGCGTGACATACCATGGTCCGAGACGCGCCCAGTGCTAGAACAAAACAAAACAAACGCCACGAAAACGAGACCAGAACCCTACATCGGCAGGTTCATCAGAGCCTTCCGGTGGTACTCCAACTTGCCCCTACCAAGGACCTTGGTCAGCATATCGGCGTGCTGCTCTTCTGTCGAGACATAATCTGCGGTGATCTTGCCCGCCTTGAAGAGCTCGCGGATGAAGTGGAACCGCACGTCGATATGCTTGCTCCTCGCCGAGCTGAAAGGGTTCTGCACCAACGCGAGAGCCCCCTCGTTGTCCTCACGGACCCTGATCGTGGCACCGCTCGTCTCGGGCGCAATGAACGACAGAACACCACGCACGAACAACGCTTCCTTCACGCCCTCCCCGGCTGCAATATACTCTGCCTCCGTGGTCGACTGAGCCGTCACTGGCTGTGTCTTCGTGGATGCGCACACTACGGTCCCACCTACAGTCACGGCTAGCCCCGTCGTCGAACGCCTGTCAACGGTGCTGTCGGCGTAACTAGAATCGACGAACACGTCTAGGTCTAGCCCTGATCCGCGGACGTAGGTGATCCCGAGGTCCTTCGTCTCGTTGAGGTAGGACATGATCCGCACAAGCGCGTTCCACATCCTCTCGGTGGGTGAGTGGGCGATCTTCTGCAGCTTGTTCAAAGGCAGCGCGATGTCCGGCCTCGTGAACAGCAACCACATCAGGCATCCGATCGCTTCCCTCACGGGCTTGTCCACCGAGGACTCGTCGTCTCTCTTCGGCCCTAGGTCATCGTCGACGACAGCGGGCGTGGGAGCAGTGGTCGTGACATTGAAGCGGTTGAGCATGCTCTCGATATAAGCCGTCTGGGACAGCTTGGTGGTACCATTCTCAAGGTCCACCTCAATGGCACACCCATCGTACCAGGTACAATCTCCTAGATCCTTCACAGGGAATCTCTTCTGGAGAGACGCTAGCAACTCTTCACGCTCCTCCTCGGTCGCGGACAACATGATGTCATCCACGTAGATCACGATGAGACCTACGACTTCTCCGTCAACCACCTTGCGGAAAATGCAGGGGTCCACCCTGCACTGCTCGTAGCCGTTTGAGATCAGGGCATCGGCAGCCTCAAACCCCCACTCGCGCCCACTCTGCTTGAGTCCATACAGAGCACGCTCGACTTTCACCGCCTTGCCAGTCCAAACACCACAACCGTCTGGAAGCCTCAGGTAGATTTCTTCCTTCAGCTTGGCGTGTGTGTACGCCTGCTTGATGTCCCAGTGGACAGGCCTCCTACCATTCTCGGTGGATACGGCCACCATAGTTTTGATGGACACCGCGGAAGGGCATGCGGATGATGAGTGGTGAAAATCCACACCGGGAATCTGAGAAAAACCACGCGCAACCATACGTGCTTTGAAGTCGACAATCAGCCCCTTCTCATTGGTCTTGTGCGAGAAAATCCACTTCGCACTGATGGCCTTACGCCCCTCGGGCAGACCGCTAATCTCGGAGAACGTCCCCGTCTTCTTGTGGCCGTCGAACTCCTTTGCTATGGCTGCTTCCCACAGCACCTTGTACTTGGAGTTAAGGACATCCTTGTACGTCAAGGGCACGCACTCTACATCACTTGGCTTCTGGCCGAAGGGCGAGGGGATACTTAGCTGCGGGTCATGAAGAGGTTGCGATGACCCGTCGTCCCCTGCCTCTGCACCGAACGCCTCCTCCTGCAGATCGGTTCCGTACGGCAGCTCATGCATCTCACGCCGGTACTCGATGTTGACCTGCTCCTCGTCGTACCGCTCCCGCACCAGCGAGTTGGAAACGTAGTCCACGATGATCTCCGCCAGCAGCGCTTGCTCGGCGTCTGGCTCGGCGTCTGGACCCGGCGGCTCCTCGGGGCCTTGCAGCTCCCGGGTCTCCCTTCGTGTGCGGCCGCGCTCGAGCCCGTGGCGCAGCGGTCCTTCCTTCGAGGCGCCCCAGAGGAGCCGACGCCCTTCGCGGCCCGGCGGGTAGCGGCTGTCGGCGGGATCAAACTTGTACTCCTCGAGTTGCTCGGAGTCTTCGCCGGGTTCGCTGCCGCCGCCACCGCCATCTCCAGAGGCGCCGGGCTCACTGCCGCTGGCGCCGCCGCCGTCGTCGTCGCCGGCGGCGTTGCTGCTGCTGCTGCTGTCGCTGTTGCTGCTGCTGCTGCTGCTGCTGCTGCTGCTGCTACTGCTGCTGCTTCCATCGAAGTCGCCTGCTCCCGAAGAAGGCGACAGGGGGACGCCCGAACCAGCGCCCCCGGTTCCGTTGCCGGGTGCCGCCGGCGCCTTCTCTTGCGACGGCAGCGTCGCTCGCCCAGCCTCCGTCACGTCGAGGTCGGAATCAGACTC